TCCCCAAGGTCTCGGGCTCTGACAGCCAGTGGGCACTGAGGGTGTGAGGGAGGTTTGGGAGCCAGCAAAGACCTGGGCAGAAAGGGGCAGGAGGGGTCCCTGCAGCCCCTCCTGGCACTAGAGAGCCCGCAGTGGGTTGTTGGCGTCTGGCCGCCTTGAGCCGTTGCCGCCCCCGTGTCGTTGCTATTCCCTCCTGTTCCTTTTCGCCTAGATAATTGACCTCTCCCCCTCTGTGGCCCTTTCCGCTGGTCACAGGGCTGTCCTGGCTAACCTGTTGCTGAACTTGGCCAGCTCACCCGCTGTGGCTTTAGCAGATGTTTCTGCTCTCTGAGGCTAACATAAGATTTTAGTCCTGTTGGTACCCCCACCCAGCTGCCTTGGGCAATTTACCTAAATGATCAGTTTCTCTCAGTTCTCCTAAGCCCGAATCCAGAATGCTTAGAAAGGCAGTGTCCTATCATCAGTGTCCTTGTTTTCCATGACAGCTTTTAAGCTCTGTCCTCACCCAACTTTGATTCTGGCCCCGAGACATGCATAAGAAGACTTAGCACCCTTTAAGCCCCTTTCCTTTTCTGTTACTAAAGTGCCACCAGTCTTCATCCAGTTGGCATTTATTGAGTACCGGCTGTGTGCCAGGTGCCTGGTCTATAAAGATGAGACAGGTGCTGATCTTGCCCTGGAGAAGCCAGGGGAGGCGGGCATGTAACAATTACTACACACTGGCCTACTTGTAGTTACGGAAGAGCTCCGAGGTGAGGACGCATCACAGAGGAGAGAGAAGTTGTACCTGCCTGGATTGGTGGTGGAAGAGGATCTTCTGCAAGAGTCAGAAAGCCTTCACAAAGCAATTGATTTTTGAGCAGTGTTTCAAATTTTGAGTAGAAAATTTCTAGGTAGACAAAAGTAGGTGGAGAGGGCATTCCAGGCAGAAGCTAGAAAAAGCATGGAACTTCCAAGGAACAGTATGTAGTTTGGAATTGCTGGGGTCTGAGCTGCAGGGGGAGACAAGAGATGAAGTTGCAAAGAGAGGCCTGGGGCGGCAGGCTAAGGAGCTTGGGTTTCATCCTGAGGTCAAGTAGAGAAGTGACATCACATTCTTTGACTAAGATAGAAAATCACCTTAGCAACTGTGTGGCTGAAGAATAGTGAGGCCAGAGGTAGGAAAATTGTTATCAGTATCAGGGCCCTTTCCCTCAGTCATGGCCCCTTGAGGCTGTGAGTGACCACCCCAAAGCAGACATGGACCTTTGCTCACAGAATCTTAGGAGAGTAGACCAATATGGTGGTGTCCAGCTGGAGACCCCAGGAGAACTAGAGTAATAGATGTCTTCAGTCTGGGGCCAGAATGGACATCCTGAACAAGGAGCGTTCACATTTGCCCCCAGATTGCATCCCCTCCCAATCATATCACGTGACAAGGAACAGGGCTAGGCACCTGGGAGACCTTAGCTTCCCACTGGCATCTCTGCTGTCTCCTTGGAGATGGGGTCTGCAGGCCCTCTGCCGACTTCCTCTTGAGACCCCTTGGCCTTATTGAAGACCTTTGGGCCTTTCCTCATTAACAGGACATGCCAAAAATCAAATTACTGAATTCAGCTCATCAAATATTGGGGAAGATAAAGGCAACGTGTCCTAATATAAATGGGATTGCAGATTGTCGTCGGGTGGAATTTAGTAAGAAGATGCGAAAGTCTGCGGAATGATAAGGAAACCTTAACCAGAATAATTTCAACTCTAGAACTGTGCTGCTGGTTTAGGGGACTTAGGATGTATCGCAAGAGAGACGAAGGTGTCCACACTTGAACAGTGGAAGAGGGAGAGGAAAAGCCTCATTTGAGAGATTTAGAATGCAGAACCTACAGGACTGGGGAGCTGATGGGGTGCAGCAGGGAGGGGAGTCATCCTCCTCCACACGGTCCGGTGATTTTCTCCATCACGGCTCAGCCATGACTTGCAAAAGCAGGAAAGGCAGATTGTAAGAGCGATTGTGGAGTATGCAGAGCTGGAAAGTGAGGGAGTTTGAGAACTTGGAAGGAACTCTCCACGTGGTCCACACTGAGTAGTGAAGCTGAGTTGCGGGCCAGAAAAGCCATGACTGGGGAGAGCTATCGGGGGCTTGGGGAGCACGTAAGCATTTGCACGACGCCGGTGATGGCCAGCAGTTTCTCAACTGCCGGAGAGACCCTGCTGCTCTTTCCCAGTTATACATTGTGTTCTGCACTTAGGACCCTGCCTCGGAGTCTCTTCAGGTACCGTGGCAGATCTCACGTAGCTGATGAGGGTGCGGGGACCACTATGCTGTTGCCTAGGTGGGTCTCCCTGAAATAACAGAGCTCATATTTGAGGAAGCAGCTTATGGAGAGTGGCTGTTTGTCCCTCCAGTCCCCCTCCCACAGGGATCCCTGCTGTGCTGTGGACTGGACTTGACACAAGTGCCATGTGTCACGGGGCACAGTCCCAGTGACACTGGCAGAAATCAGGCCCAATTCATGAGAGGCCCTGACATGCCAAACCACAAATGTAATTATAACATCTTCACTCCTTTTCTTTTGAGAAATAGCAGTCTATTTACAAAACTATGTGGATATAAAGATAAAGACTGTTTTCTCGGAATTCCGTCTGAATCCTACCCCAAGATCTAGTGAAAGATTATTAAAAGGAATGCCCTTTAAAAATTAGGCATAATTATACTACCCCAAAAGTTTTAATGTTTAGCTTTTTCATGAGCACTTGGGTTCTTTGGCATCTGACCATTGCAGTGTGAATATTAAAATGTTTCCTTCTGTGTAAGACACAGGATATCAAGCAATGTTTATAACCTGGGCAGCAGCTGAGTGTACCAATGGTTTTAGGATAGAATAGCCAAAACCGTTTATCTTGTACTTAAAATACTAGCTGCCTGTGAAATTCTTATGTAAAGATGTTTAAATAGGAGTCTACCGTGTATCAATATTTCATAGAATGTTTTATGTGATGGAATAAACAGTAAACAGAATAAATAGGTGATTTGTATTCTGGGTGAAAGTCAGCCATTCATTTGTAAACCAGAAGTGCTTGCTGTGTGTCAAGTGGTGGATAGAGAGAAACAGTCCTCATTCCTGAAGATAGCATGGTCTAGTGGAGAAGAGAGGCACATAAAGAAGCAGTTAGGGTGAGTGTAGGAGCTGTAGACGCTCTTACATGAGAGAGCAGGGAGGATGCAGTGAGTGACTGTTCAGGACTGCCTCAAGTCCTTTTTGAGAGAGCAGGGGCCCTGGGGAGGAAGTATACAAAACGCAGGGAGTGCTCCAGCCAGGGGAATCCGGGTAAGTGTTTCAGAGATGCTGATGAGCTGAATCTTAAACGATGTACAAAGCTGGCAAAACATCCAGAAAGGTGCTCCAGGAAGAGAGAACAACATGTGCGTGAACTGGAGCAGCAAGCAGGCCTGGGTGGCTCTGGTTACTGCATGGGAGGGGGCCCCAGGGCAAAGGCTGAAGGGAAGTCTGAGCCAGGGGACCAAAGGACCTGGCAGATCATGGCATGGCCAGTGAGCTGACTTTTATTGAGCATCTTCAATATTGTTTTACTAATAAGAGAACCAAGACTCAGAGAATTATACTAGGTTCCCCAAGTTGCACAGGAAATGGTGAGCCCAGGATTAGACCCCCCAAGTCTGCCTGGCTTCAAAGCCTTTGCTGTTTTTCCTGAGATGTGCTGCTGATGAGTCTGGGTCTCACCCTTTTGGTTCATGGTCTTTAGACTTTTCTTTTTTCTTTTTAGTGGTAAAGGCCTTTTTTGCAAATAAAATCTTAACCCCAAACTCCAACATGTAAAAATAGATCAGGTTGTATTTCATTAACATAAAGGTCTTCCATATTTAAATGTATAACAGTTATGAGATCAGGTAATGAGAACAGGGACTTTCTTTTTAATAAGCTCTTTTATTTTAAAATAAATTTAAATTTACAGAAATCTTGCAAAGATAGTACAGAGAGGTGCCATATACCACACACCCAGCTCTCCCCCTTGCTCGCATCTTGCATTACCATGGTACGTTTGTCAGAACTAAGAAGTTGACATTGGAACATTGCTATTAACCAATCCATACTTTATTTGGATTTCACCAGTTTTTCCACCAATTATCTTTCCGTTCCAGGGTTGAGTCCAGGGTACCACATTTAGTTGCAATGACTTTCTTTGCACAAACACTAAAACATGAAGTCAGGAAATATGTTACATTCTCAGATGTTCAGCTTTATGATTGAAAATAAGATACTGCCTTGAACCCTTAGAAGAAATGCTATCTGTAAAAAAAGGTACTAAGCCCTGGACTACAGGCATGCAAGGCAAGAGCAACCTGCTACCGAAATGCAGTTGGTATAATTATCTGACAATGCAGCCCAGAGAAGAATCCAACAAGGCACACCCCACAAACTCAGTTTATTCTGTCTTATTCAGCTTGGGCTGTCATACAATATACCATAGACTGGGCAGTTTAAATAACAGACATTGTTTTTTTTCACAGTTCTGGAGGCTAGAAGTCCCAGATGAAGGTGCTGGCCAATTCAGTTCCTAGTGAGGACTCTCTTCCTGGCATGTAGAGGGCTGTGTCCTCACGTGACCTTTTTTGTGTGTGTGCAGGGCAGGGAGGGGGGAGTTATCTCTCTATTTATCAGATCAGGGCCACACCCTTATGACCTCATTTAACCTTAATTACCACCAAAAGACCCCACCTCCAAATACAGTCACATTGAGGGTTAGGGCTTCATCGTAGGAATTTGGGGGGTGGGGGAGGGACAGAGTTCAGTCCATAGCCTAGTCCAAAGGCTGAAATAATGTGAAATCTTTACAGTTCAATCATGGTATTAAAATTTTCTCGAGCTTCCCTGGTGGCGCAGTGGTTGAGAGTCCACCTGCTGATGCAGGGGACACGGGTTCGTGCCCCGGTCCGGGAAGATGCCACGTGCCGCGGAGTGGCTGGGCCCGTGAGCCATGGCCGCTGAGCCTGCGCGTCTGGAGCCTGTGCTCCGCAACAGGAGAGGCCACAACAGTGAGAGGCCCGCGAACTGCAAAAAAAAAAAAAAAAAAAAAAAAGTCTCCATTTCGTACAGTATGTTTATGCAGGTAAATATGTATTACTTTGTAAAACACTTGATACATGCAAGAAAATGTTAAATATTTAGATCCCATTTGAATACTCATTAAATAAGTTAACAGAGAATATAGTGTCATCTGAACAAACGATGCAAAAGCAATGGCAAGAAAAATTTTTCAAAAGTAGTTGCCTTATAAAAGCTGTTACCAGAAGTCTTCAGGTAGTCATTAGGTTTTCCATACAAAAGATACAGCATCCGTCAGAATAATGCCAAGTAATACCATATAATTATTAGCTGTTTGTTACTGGTGTGGACTGTGAGTTCTAGAATTTACTTTTCAGTACCAAAGGTTATTTACTGTGCTGAACCAGAATACAAGTCCAGATACCTCACACGGAGTAGGACATCACTGGGGTTTGTTTTGTTTTTGCTGATAAAGAAACGTAACTAGCTAACTTTACCTCAGCTAGTGCATAGTTGCTGCTCTGTTACTTCAAAATTACTTAGCAGAGTGTTAGAAAGTGTTGCTTGACACTGCAGATCCAGGAGGTCCACAGTAGGTGCGTTGGATAAATGTCTGTTAATGCTGCCGTTTTTAGTTTGGGAGGTGGGAGTGAATGATGATGCCATTAATCAAGAAAAACATGGAAGAAGGAATAGATTTAAAGGTAGGAGGGAGGGAGCCTGAAGTAGCTTCAGGACATCCAGGTAGATTTACTCATTTTGTCTTTGGAATTTTAGAGTAAACAAATAACATTCCAGGATAGCTATAAGTCATGATTTGAAAATAAGTTGAAGAGGATTTCCTTTTTTTTTTTTTTAATTTAAGAGAGTATACCATTGAATCAGTTTATAATGGAATAGAAAATCAATAAAAGGAAGAAATAATTTGGGCTTAAAAACTGCAAAATGAGTGACTAGTTGACCACAGTGTTCATCTAGGGAATCTGGATTTGTGAATCTTTCAGTGATTATTTTTTCTTCCAGTTTTATTGAGATATTGATATAATTGAAATATCGAACTAAGTTCAAGGTGTACAGCCTAATGATTTGACTTACACATATTATGAAATGATTATCACAGTACGTTTAGTGAGCATCCGTCATCTCATACAGGTACAGCATTAAAGAAATAGAAAACATATTTCCTTCCTGTGACGAGAACTCTTAGGATTTACTCTCTTAACAGCTTTCATAGATAATGCAGTGTTCATTATATGTATCACGTTGCACATTACATCCCTAGTATTTATTTATCTTATAACTGGAAGTTTGTAACTTTTCACTACCTTCGGCAATTCCCCTCCCCCCCAAATCAGTGATGTTTTATCGGAGTATTCTGTTAACGTTGCAACATGTGATTTGGTCAGTTGTGGTATTTTCAATTACTGAAGCATTGATTCAGCAATTTCAGTCTGATGAAACCATGTCACAAGTTTACACTCAGCCCTTGGGTTCTTTTATTTTCCCCAGCTTTATTGAGGAATCATTGGCAAATACAATTGTGTAATTTTAGAGTGTATGATGTCATGATTTGATATACATGTACATTGTGAAATGATTGCCATGATCAAGATAATTAACACATCCATCACCTCACATAGTTAACTCTTTATTGTGTCTGTGGTTAGAATGCTTGAGATTTACCTCAGCAAATTTCAATTATACAATACCGTGTTATTAACTACAGTCTCATGCTGTACCTTAGATCCTCAGACATTATTCATCTTATAAATTAAAGTATGTAAAAGAATTTGACCTCCACCTTCCCATTTTTCCCTCTCCCCAGCCCCTGGCAACTACCGTTCTACTCTCTGTTTCTATGAAATCAGCTTTTTTTTTTAATAAAAGATTGCACACATAAGTGATACATACAGCATTTGTGTTTCTCTGTCAGGCTTGTGTCACTTAGCATAATGCCCTCCAGGTTCATCCATGTTGTCACAAATGGCAGGATTTCCTTCTTTTTATGGCTGAATAATATTTCAGTGTGTGTGTGTGTGTGTGTGTGTGTGTGTGTATCACATTTTCTTTATCCATTCAACTGTCAACAGGCACTTAGGCTGTTTCCATGTCTTGGCTCTTGCGAATAATGCTGCAGTGAACATGGGAGTGCAGATATCTCCTCAAAGTACCAATTCCATTTCTTTTGGATATACACCAGTACTGTTTTCCATAATGGCTGTACCAATTTACATTCCCCCCAATAATGTACAAGGGTTCCCTTTTCTGCACATCCTCACTAACGTTTAGCTCTTATCTTTTTGATAATAGCCATCCTAACAGATGAGAGGTGATATAGAAATTAAGAAAGCAGTCACACTCACAAAAGCATCAAAAACAATAAAATACTTGGGAATTTAACCAAGGAGGTAAAATACCTATACATTGAAAACTTTAAGACATTGATGAGAAAATTGATGAGGACACAAATAAGTAGGAAGATACCCTGTGTTATTGGATTGGAAGAATTAATATCATTTAATTGCCCATACGACCCAAAGTGATCTATAGATTCAGTGTAATCCCTATAAAAATTCCAATAGCATTTTTCACAGAAATAGAAAAAACTCTCCTAAAATTCACAAAAGACCCTCAATAGCCAAAGCAATCTTGAGAAAGAAGAACAAAACTGGAGGCATCAGCACTTCTGATTTCAAACTCGATTACAAAGCTGTAATAATCAACACATTAGCATGAAAACAGACACATAGACTAATGGAACAGAATAGGCAGCCCAGAAGTAAACCCATGTATGTATGGCAAACTAATCTTTGACAAGGTGCCAAGATGGGGAAAGAATTGTCTCTTCAGTAAATGGTGTTGGGGCTTCCCTGGTGGCGCAGTGGTTGAGAGTCCGTCCGCCTGCCAATGCAGGGGACACGGATTCGTGCCCCAGTCCGGGAAGATCCCACATGTCGCGGAGCGGCTGGGCCCGTCAGCCATGGCCGCTGAGCCTGCATGTCCGGAGCCTGTACTCCGCAACGGCAGAGGCCACAGCAGTGAGAGACCCGTGTACCACAAAATAAATAAATAAATGGTGTTGAGAAAACTGCATAGCCACGTGCAAAAGGATGAAACTGGACCCCTTACTTACAACATGCACAGAAATTAACTCAAAATGAGTTAAAGACTTAAATGTAAGACATTGGGTTCTTAAGTGTACAGTTATCTGGGATAGTTATATCCACAAGTACAAGTCATTCTTGAGTCTAGAGCTTTAGTTTTAGTGCATAGTTGTTTTTATAATATTTTTTTGTTTTAGTGTTTAGTTATTTTTCATTTGCTCCCATGTATTTTTCCCTCCATTACCAGTTCTTCTCACCTTTCACATTCACATCCCATTTGACCCTAAAGGCTTATGGAAGGTTATCAGATGGTGTGGTCTTTCTGCTGTATCTTCAGGGAAAAGAGTTTCCTCCCTGTTCAGCTCACTCTGGAAGCTCCAGCTGTTCACCAAAGCTCTGCCCCCCGGGCTGCTTCTGAGCCTGTGGTTAGCTCCTGCAGATTGGAAAAAGCTGCTCATGGCCTGTTCTCTGCTTGCAGGTTGTCCCCATGCTTCCCAGGCTGCTGTGTGAGGAACTGTGCAGCCTCAACCCCATGACCGACAAGCTCACCTTCTCCGTGATCTGGACGCTAACTCCGAAGGGCAAGGTAACAACTTACATGCGTGTCCGTTCCATTCAGTGAGTCCCTGTTCAGCAACACTGTGTTTCTGGTGCTGGGCTGGAGCCCCATGGTGGTAGGATGAGGGCAGTGTAGGGGCAGTGCCAGAGAGGAGAACACAGGGGAGGAGCTCTCAGTCCATGTAGAAGGCTGAGCCTCAGCAGTTTTCAGTGTATCATGTGAAGGAAGAAAGAGCGTAAGCAGAGTCACGTGGGGGAGGCCTCTTGCAGGAGAGGGTGTACATGAAGGTGCGTGTGGCTGGCATTGGCCGTGTGGATGGGCCTGGGCTGTGGTTAGGAGAGCAGGCCATTGTGTGAAGGAGGACATTTGGGGAAAGGGTGGTGAGTTTGAATAGGTGAGGTGGACTCAAACCATGGGGACCCACAAATGCCAGTTGCAAATGAATTGTAGGTGTTAGGTTTCCTCTGAAGTGTCATGAGAAAGGTGACATTTTAGAAAGATTAGTGCTGCGTCATTGTGCTGGTTGAAGATGAATGAAATTTGCACAAGGTAGTGCTGTAATCAAGACACAAGGTGATGAAACCGTGGACTGATAAGAGAGAGGAGAATAATGTCAGCGGCCATTCCCTAAATACAGGGAAGAAAGGTGACTCCAGAAAACGCTAGTCCCCCCCGCAAAACAGAAACAACTCTGAACTTCTGAAAATAGGGTAATGATTGGGTAAGCTATGGTAGCGACTCAGTGGAATGTTGTACAATTACTAAAGTTGTTACAAAGACTGTGTAAGAACATGGGAAAAGTTTATGCTGTAATATTAAATGGAAGTTAAAAAAAAGATATTTAATTATAAAGAGGTTCCAAATAAAGATGGAGGATCAAATACCCACATTTACTTTCATTCCCTCCCAAAACCTCACTAAAACAACAGTGAAGAGATTTTTTTTAAAAAAACATAAACCCACAAGGACAAAGAGAATGGGAGAGGAGACAACAGCAACAAAAATTTGGAAGCTGAGAAGCAGATGGATGAGTGGTAACTGACTTAGCAGTCCTGAGAAAGCTGAGTCCTGAGCCAACGCCCGAGAAAGCCAAGAAACAACCCAGTTTACACAGCAGGATCCTAAAGAAGTTCAGAAATGGACAGCAGCAGGTAACTCTGTAAAGTGGGGGAAGAGGTGGGGGAAGGAGAGACTAACTGTATTGGTTGAAAATTTATTTAAAAAGATTGCCCCTTCCATAACGTAGTAGAAGACCAGCAATTTATCCTTGGGACAGGATAAAGGAAAGGCTGTCTGAACTAGGGGACGCCAAACACAGTTGTGGTAGTGGCCCCTTTGGGGAGGTTGAGTGAATGCTGCTGGCACGTTGAATACTGGCCGAACATTCAGAGTCCCAGCTTTCTTTTCCCAGCCAACCTCAGAATTCTAGTAGCCAAGCCTATACCCTTGAGTCCAAAGATAGGAAAATCTTTCTCTGAGGAATCTGAGCGGTAAAGAAGATTTAAAGCTAATAACCTCAAGGATTTCCCAACCAACAGCTCAGCTGTATTTCCCTACAATAAAGCTTGCAGACAATGAGCTCCACCCACCCAAGCAGAGCTTTTTAGGATTTCACTAAAAATCAGTCTTTTAACATTTCACTGTCCTATATAAAGAGACAACCAAGAGGAAAGCCTCGAACGTGAAATAGCAAAACCAAACAGGAAAGCAACTAGAACAAAACAAGGAGAAGAAACTATTTTTTTATATCCTCAGAGAATTTCTTTTTTAAAGAAAGTATGTGTATTACAAGATCTAGGCACTTTCAAAAAGAAACATTCGGAAGGGGGGAAAAGGAGCTCTTTTTTAATTGAATTAAATTAACAGCATGAAATTAAAAACATGATAGAAGAAATAAGACTCAAGGTTCAGATTGGAAGATAAAGTTGAAGAATTGTCCCAGAATATGATAGAAAAGACAAGAAAAGTAGAGGACCAGTCCAAGACATCCATCTGTTCAATGAACATTCCAGAAATAGGGAACAGAGAAAAAGAGGGAGAAGAAATGATGAACAGAATCATTCAGGGAAATGCCCCATTACTGCAGGATGTGACTTTCCAGACAGAAAAAGCCCGCTGCCCAGCACAGTGATGGAGACGCACCATCTCCAAGCCACATTGTCATAAAATTTCAGAACACCGAGGACAAAGAAAAGATCCTATAGGCTTCTAAGAAGGAAAAAAAGAGTCACATACAGGAGATCCAAATTCAAAATAACTTAAGACTTTTCTGTTATAACCCTAGAGACTAGATGACAGTGAAGCAAAGCTCTCTAATTTCTGAAAGACTGTGACTTCCATGCTAAAATGCTGTACCCAGCTAAGCCATCAATAAAATGTGAGAGCAGGAAAGGACGTTTTCAGACATGCAAGTTCTCCAAAAAAAGGTACATCTCATATACCCTTTCTCAGGAAGCTACCAGAAGATGTACTTCACCAAAAAGAGTAAATCAGGAAGGAGGAAGACGTGGGATTCAGGAAACAAATCAACTAGTACAGTAAAGAAGTGAAAGAATCACCTAGATTGCAAGTCACCAAACTTTTCCTGTAAAGGACCAGTTAGTAAATATTTTTGGTTTTATACGCCATTTGGTCTATTACAGCTACTCAACTCCGCCATTGTAGCACGAAAGAAGACAATACATAAATAATGAGAATGCTGCGTCCCACTAAAACTTTACTTAAAAACACGTGGCAGGCTGGATTTGGCCCACAGACCATAATTTGTTGACACCTGACCTAGACGATGGTGAAGAAAGTTCCCAGGGTATCAGTTCTACGCAGATGCAGAAGACGGGGGTTCAGATTGGAGCAGGTCAGAAGGTGACCATCTCTGCAAGCCAGGGAGAGAGCGCTCACCAGATATTGAGTTGGCTGGCGTCTTGATCTTGGACTTCTTGGCCTCCAGAACTGTGAGAAATAAATTGTTTAAGCCACCCAATCTGCGGTATTTTGTTATGGCAGCCCTAGCAGACTAATACAATATCAACTGAACTTTTTTACTGGATTACATTAAAATCTATTGGTCTGTTTCACACTTTGAATGGACCTTTTACCCATGCATGGTTTTTTATCATGTATTTAGAAATTTAAGCCATTCAGAAAATATTGGCTTATTAGTCTGATTTTCTTAATGTGGACACATTTCATTATATGATATTAAAAATCATATTTATTAATATCACTACAGACCCTAAACAAGTCTTTAAATATTAGAAAACGTGTATCATGTGTCAGATACAAGGTTTTCAAAATTCTGATTTTTGTAAAAGCTTGAATTTTATCATTGGCAATAAATAATGTTAGTTGTTTTTCTTGAAGTGCCAGATAACCGTCGTGTGTCACTTGTTCCTCCAAGTAACAGTGATGATCTGTAAAAACGGCGGTCAGTTCAGCTCACAACTCAAAGTTAAGTGCTTTTCCTCAAGACAACCACTGTACTTTGACATGCTGCGTAAGTGAAAAAGACAAGTACTCAAGGGTTGAGCCATAATAAAAGTATTAACTTTTACCGCTTCATCAAGAACGTTCTTTTTTTTTTTTTTTTTTTTTTTGCGGTACGCGGGCCTCTCACTGTTGTGGCCCCTCCTGTTGCGGAGCACAGGCTCCGGACGCGCAGGCTCAGCGGCCATGGCTCACGGGCCCAGCCGCCCCGCGGCATGTGGGATCTTCCCGGACCGGGGCATGAACCCGTGTCCCCTGCATCGGCAGGCGGACTCTCAACCACTGTGCCACCAGGGAAGCCCAAGAACATTCTCAAGTGAACTAGGTTTTCTCTTTCCTGCGAGTATGAGCTGGTGACGAGACCCTGACCACTGCCACCACTTGTTGCCGTTGCCTGATTCATGCCAAGGCATTAACAGTTTTCCCCACCAGTGCTTCTGTACCATCTGTATAAATGTCAACACATGGAAAAGGGCAAATAATGCCTACTAGTATTATTACGAAAATAGTTTTGACCTCACGGATCCCTGAATGGATCCCCACGAGTCCACAGACCATACTTCGAGAACCACTGCTTCAGACAATTGATGGAAAACTTGAGGTGGATTAATATACAGAATATACCAAAAAACCAACCAAATTAAAACAAGACAGTTGTTAGTTTCGGTGAAAATAAAAAGTTATGAGGAAAGAAAAGTAATGCTTAGTGTTTACATAGTTGTAATAGTTAAATCTCATAGTTATGAGGTAACTTTATTGGGAGCATTGAGGGCCTGGAGTGGTTATCTGGGTTTGGTTGGGGGAAGGGAGTGTATGTGGAAAGAAAAGTAAATTCTCTTCTTCTATAGTGAAAAGTTTGTGAATAATGCCTAAAACTGAAAAATCAAGCAGTAATCAAGCAGATTATATACAAGTATGAAAAGTAAATAACACGGCTTCCCTGGTGGTGCAGTGGTTAAGAATCCACCTGCCAATGCAGGGGACACGGGTTCAAGCCCTGGTCCGGGAAGACCCCACATACCACGGAGCAGCTAAGCCTGTGCGCCACAACTACTGAGCCTGCGCTCTAGAGCCCGCGAGGCACAGCTACTGAGCCTGCGTGCCACAGCTGCCGAAGGCCGCGAGCCTAGAGCCCATGCTTCACAGCAAGAGAAGCCACCACGGTGAGAAGCCTGCGCACCGCAGCGAGGAGTAGCCCCCACTCGCCACAACTAGAGAAAGCCCATGCACCGCAATGAAGACCCAACGCAGCCAAAAATAAAAACATAAATTAAATAAATAAAAATATTTAAAAAGAAAGTAAATAACAAAATAATCTGCTGAGAGGTGAAAGTGGCTACCCTTGGGGAGGGGCAGAGGAGGGAGAGGGACAGAGGGCTGCTGTTCTTCATAATGAGCCTTTAAAACTACTTCACTGTTTGAACTATCGATACTTCAATTTTTAAATTTTTATTTTGAAAAATTTCAAACATAAATGAAAGTAAAGAAAATAACACAATAAATCCACCATCTCTATCTCCTAGATTTAACTACTGTCAACATTTATTCTTTGCTAAAGTATTTTAAAGAAAACCACAGACATCGTGTCATTTCACTCTTACATATTTTGATATGTGGCTCTAAAAATTTTGGACGTTTTCTTACATAACCACAATGCCATCAGACACCTAACAATAGTAATGCCCTGGTGTCACCTAAACCCCAGTCCATAATTACATTTCCCACATTGTCTCCAATCGATTCGTCCAAAGTGGAATCAAAACAAGTTACCAACATTACATTTGGTTTTTGTGACTCCTAAATATCTGATAGTAAGTTCCTTTTTAAGAGTCAAGAAGCAAACAGTACCTGAAATAGAAAGAAGGAATTGTGAGGACAGTGTGCCAGCAGTCATGTTTTGGTGGGGGTGGCAACATGCATGGGGGAAAAAAATGAATGGAAAAAGACCAGAAGGAAATAAAATAGAATGCCCGTAGTGGTTGTGTTTGGGTAGTAAGACTACGAGTAATTTTTTCTACTTTTTTGTATTTTCTAGTGTTTTTTGAAAACATGTATTACTTTCATGTTTTTATAAATGCTTATTTTTGCAAAAGTTTAACTAAATAGAAAATAAAAACCCATAGAAGAAAACTAACGAGTCAACAGAAAAGAACTCTGAATCTGAATTAAGCCTGCCAGGGCCAGACCCAAGGAATAAAAAGCTGCCTGATCTAATGAGCTTCCAAAATACGAGGGTCATAAAAGAAGCACTCGGAAGAGGCAGACTCCGAAAACTCAGCTGGTCTCTGGAGGGCTTCTTCTGGAGGCAGTGTCTAGCGACCAAGCCTTCTGGCACCAGGGGGCTGGAGAGCAGGTGTGGAGAAGGCACAGGGTCCAGGAGGGGATGCTGGGCCTCTATCAAAGCAAGCCAAACAGGCAGTGTGAGCATTTAGACTTCAGACAGTCGTGGAGCAAGACCCGCTAACCACACTCCTTGTACTGTGGTCATTCAGACGTCCTACCCAGAACAGGAGGCCACACGGTGGGTGGACCTGGGTGGTTAGTCCTGGGTGTAGTGACACATAAGTATCTCTTACTCACAGTCAAGATGCATGAAATGCGAGTTCGGATTCCAGACTCATGTCCAAGGGGTGGTGCTTGTTCAGGGGGCCAGAGAAGGCAGTAGGGAGGGAGGTGGCCCTGCATCAAGAACCAGTAAACAAGGAGGAGGGCAGCCAAAGCCTGAGGCTGGCTTTGTATGTAGTGGTGGCTTCTCGTGATACAAGGTCTTGGACTTAGAAGGAGCCAGAGAAGGGCCAGCAGCATTGAGCCACTACTACTGCAGCATGGCTGCCAGTCTCACCTGGACTTGAAGTGGAGAACATTTTTGGGTTTTTTTCCTTTGTCTGCTGGAATGTCTTACTTTCTGGAGCAGGCATGGTCAGCTATAGAAAGCCTATTCCAACTTTTTTTAAACACCCAGTAGATTTTTTTTAAGTATGCACTAGGAAGCCTTGGTCATATATACTTTCATTAAGCCAGTGCCCAGGTTTTTAGAACAGTAAACTCTGAAAGATCCATTTTGGGCATATTTCTCACATATTGGTGGTGAGAGCATTGTTCTCTGATCTAGATAATTGTGATTATATATTTTCGTAAGAGAAAACAAACCCAACTAAATCTGGTGCTTTGTAAGATCCAAGTCTGGTACCATGAAATCCACTTTGACCATGTCGGGCCAGTGACTCATTATCCCTGCTCATCATGTGTCTCAGTTGGCAAGGCACTAAGGCCCTGCAAAACAGAGACCACATCCACGTGCTCCACTCATCAGAGGCATCTTAATTTGAAGTCCCCTTTGGAAACAACACCAATCTTACACTTTAAAGAAGGTCACAAACAATGAATGTGACTTGATAACTAAGTCCTTAAGTCTTAGAACCATAAAATCTCAGGGTCAAAGGTCAGAATCATAAAGGAAGAGTCTCATAATTACAGTAGCAATCCACAGCTTGTGTCTCCCACAGCGTACCTGCCCTGTGCTCTCTGGCTCGGTTAGAATGCAGGAGTGTACTCCGAGGTGCCCGTTTCAGCCTCAGTCAGTGGCAAACTCCTTTCAGCCGTTTACACAGCCCAGAAGCCATGGGGTCATTATTGGCTCTGGTCTTTCTCTCACCCCTCACGTCCAGGCCAGCAGTAAGTCACCTCAGCTTTGCCTCCAGTACCTCCAGAATCTGCCCCCTTCCTTACCACTCCCAGCACTGACACCTGCATCCAGGCTGCCATCCCCCACCCGACTGCAGGGGCCTCCCGACTGTTCTCTGAGCTTCTGCTGCTGCCCCGCTTCATCGTCTCCCTACACAGCAGAAAGAGTGATTCTTCTAAATCAGAAATTAGGTCTCGTCTCTTTCTCCTTTTTAATAGCTTGTCAGTCTCTCATTCAGAATAAAATCTAAGAAATCTTTAAAGTGGGATTTCTTTCCCTGTTCTTTTCTCTCTGTCTTCTCTGCTAGAAATGCATGGATTGCAGCGAGTTCCGGGGACTAGGGTCTTTTCTCGTTTCCTGGAGCATCTTTACTCGCATGGGAAAAGCAGCTTTTACCACGTGGCTGAGCTCTCCACTGTGTAGCAGCTCCGAAGCCCAGCTTCCACGACCTGACCTCAGAGGAGGTCAGACTTCCCTAACTGCCATCCTAGAAAACCCTGCAAGTCTCTGCCCATTCTTTGTAGCTCAGGAAAAGTCTTTCTAGTCCCTGCCTAACACCCCATTTTGAACATTGGACATTGTAGGAGAACTGTGGTATGTGCCAGTTCAGACTGTCTTTCTTCAGCTGGATCTTCAATGCTGCTTAGGAATCCTTTTATTTATTGCTAATGCAGTTGTTTCAAACCTTTATTCTTGCTTCCCGCTTCCAACTTTGCCTTCCGGTCCTCTTTCCCTCAAGACCCGCCATTCCCCCAGGTAACTTTCAGTTTTCCTTCTTGGA